TATGGCCAGAACTCCTGGTGGAGGTTCTGGGGCATTTACCATGAGAAACCAGGGTTGTAAAACCCCAGTTCCTGATGCCCATGGGGAAATTGGGGGTCCCAACAGATCAGGGCTGCATATCACAACCACAACCACAACCACAATCATGCACATATGGCTGGAGCCATAGGTGCTAACATCTTTCTTTCTCTTATCTCTCTTTCTCTGTTTTTCTCTTCACAGTTTTCCTTTCTCAGGGTGTTCACACTCTCCAGAAGAGCTATTCACCTCGTTTTTTGGGGTTTTTTTTTTTTTTTTCCTTTCTCAGGGTGTTCACACTCTCCAGAAGAGCTATTCACCTCGTTTTTTGGGGTTTTTTTTTTGTTTGTTTGTTTTTTTTTTTCCCCAGTTTCAATGCAGTTTTTATTGTTATATCAGTTATTTAGGGTTATTTTGCTTTAATCCACCCCAAAGGATCTGTTAACAAGGAACCTGGTTGCCTTGCCTTGGAGGCAGATCTCATCTATCTCCCTCTTTCTGAGGTACAGAGTAGAAGCAGAGCAATGAGCTCTTAATTTAGATGCTCAGCTTGAGTGCCTAAAAAGGTGAAACTTCAGAAAGCAGGGATCTGGTTATAGAAAACAAGAATGTGTTTTCCTTAAGGTCAATGTATCTTAGAGTATTTGTTGACAATTCTTTTCTTGATTCCTGTTTGAAACCCAGGAATGTCAGAAGTGTTTTGTTAGGTTTTTACTGTGTTGAATACTCATTCATGATGTATTCTAAAGTGTTAAATCAAAATAAGTGTTGTTGTGTTGCAAATCATCATGAATGATTTAAAATAAAGGTCCAAATATTTCAAATTTAATCATAAAATTAGACTGTGGAGTAAAAGTTGTTCTTTACATGTGTGTTTAGATTAATGATATCATCCTTATATATTTTCAGATAAAGTTTTGTTATTCTTTTGATTTAATACTCTATCATGTCCTGATTAAAAAGTTGTATACTCTACAATATAAATAGAGCTTATGTAGAATGAGCCAAAAAGTGGCTGGTGTTGTTCAGAAAGTAGATGTCTTTGGGGAAATTACGAGTGAATATGTCTGTGTTTTCTAGAGACTGGAAGCCTGCAGCTGTTCTGCATTTATGGATAGGATAATGATTTTGGAGTGGGCTGTCCAGCTGCTTGCGTGACTCAGGCTTATTTAAAGATCAAATTCTTTAATAAGGAAAAATACAAAGTTAAAACATCTAGCASCAGGAGGGTGTGCATCTGCTGGGAGTGGAGGAATGCATTGGGGACAGCCCAAACTCTGGGARGGGCAGGTGTGCCCTTGTGTGCAGTGTTACAGCTCTGCCCACCCACCCTGAATGTTCAGGGGATGTGCTGGAGGAAATGCAGGTTGTGTCTGCTGCAATTCCTGTGCCGTGAAAAAAGAGCATATGGGGGTAGAGTGTGTGAGAAAAAACATTTAAAGAATAATGTAACCATGAGGCAGAAGCAACATGAGTTCATGGGGGAAATTTATGCTCAACTAATTTGCTGTCTTTGTGCAAGAAGTTCACCTGTGTAGAGGATGAAGGGAAGGTGGTGGATGTAGGTTTTTTTGGGGGTTTTAGTAAGGCTTTTGATACTGTCCTTCACAGCTTCATCCTGGTCGAGTTGTGCAGCAGTGGATGAGCAGATTCATGGTGTGCTGGGTGAAGAGCAGGTTGGATCACAGGGCTCAGGCAGGACTAGACTGGCTGGTGACCATGTAGCAGTGGTGCTCTCCAGAGCTCAAGTCTAGGGTCAGATCTGTTGGATGTATTTATCAATGATCTGGATTTTGGGGGTGAATGCACCTGTGCTGGTTTCAGTTGAGTTGGTTCTCTTCACAGTGGCTCYTACAGGGCTGTGTTTTGGTTTTGTGCTGAACACAGGGATGATAATAAAGAAAAGTTTTTGTTATTGCTSAGCAGGGCTTRCWYAGAACCAAGGCCTTTTCTGCTTTTTGTGCTGTGATGCTGGCAGGGAGGAGCCTGGGARGTTGGGAGGAGACACAGCCAGGACAGGTGACTCCAAYKGACYRAAGGGATATTCCAGACCATCTGACATCCCACTCAGGATAGAAAATGGGGAGAAGAAGAAGAAGAGGGGAACATTTGGAGAGGTGGCATTTTTTTCCCAAGTCACAGTTACACTTGATCAGRTCCTGCTCYYCTGGAGAYGCTGAACACCTSCCTGCCTGTGGGAAGCAGTGAATTAACTCCTTGTTTTGTTTTGCTTTTGCTGGTGGCTTTTGCCTTCCCTATTACACTCTCTTTGTCACAAACCATGAAAATCATTGCAACCCATGGATTTTCCAGCTTTTGTCTTTCCAATTCTCTCCCTGATCCTGGGGAATGGAGGAGTGAGCGAACGACTTTTTGGGGCTTGCCTGCAGGCTGGGGTTAAACCACAACAGCACTGATACCAAATTTCGTGGTGATCTGTAATGGGAGACTCTTTGGAAGTTCTTGAGGGACAAGAAGCCGTGCAGAGAAATCTGGATAGATTGGGGGGGCATTGCACAATCATTGAGTGAATGAAATTTATCAAGTCCCAATTTTGAATCACGCATTCCTACCTGGAATGAAGTAATTAGTGTACCTGTAAATTAAAATGAATGTATTGTGCTTGCTTTAGTCATGTTAAAAAAAGAATTCTCAGATGTTATCTTTGCATAAATAGGAATAATATGTGTGCTCATGTTGGTACTCCCAAAACCTGTGGCATTCTTGGTGGTTCTGTTGACAGAAACAGATCTGCAGGAAAGAGTGCCAGGCCTCTCAATGACAGCAGGACTCATGCAGGCATTTTCAGGACTTTGTCTGAAGACTAGTTGCAAACACTTGGTTTTGTTCATTATAATTGAGTGTTCACAAAACAGTTAGATTCATAACTATGATATGACTCCAGTCTAGGGTTCATAGTTACTTTGCTGTCAAAGAACCTTGCACCATTTGGAGCTTGAATTAATAAGGAATTTATCTTGTGAATTAGCCAAAAATAAACCCAGATAACTAGTCTGATTTTACTTTTCTCTCTCTTAACCCAAAATTAATTTCATCATGGTGTGGTGAGAAACTACTTACAGAGAACCTTACTGTGGGTACTTTACATATTCATAGTTGAAATGTTGAAAGAATAGGTATGTGTGCTTTATGATTTCTGAATTATTTTGCTTTCTTTTTTACTTTTAGTTTACTGTTTCAGATGATGTTATGCACTCACACACAGTGTATTAAATATTTTATTATTTAAAGGGGTTTGACAAGGAAAATTAATATATCTTGAGACTATAAGAATGGTGACATTGAGTTGCACCACAGAATCCTCGCTTGAGCAGTGCCCAGCAATGGATGCTGAGGCTGAGAACAGGATAAGACAATGTGATGTTTCCACAGGACACTCTCTCCTTCTCCAGCAGCTGTCATCATGGATATCTATTGATSTCACATGACTCTATGAAGGCTGTCATAGGGAGTTAAAGGGGTTAATTTCAAATATCTCTCTCTGTTGTCAGACAGTGCAGCTGGTTTCACTGGAGAAATAAGACATAGCTCTGTGACATTACYTTTTCTGCAATGCTGGCCATGGGCCATCTCTGTCTGGAGCAGGGTGTTTGTGAATTCAAGGCTTGAGAGCTGTAACAGAAGTAGAAACCATTCTCAGAGGAGTAGCAACTGAAAAATTTTGAACAGTTTATCTCAGAAGTTTACTACAATATATGAAAAAAATATAAAACAATGAAATGTTGTTCAGAATCTAAAACAGGACTGTTGCACATAATAGTAACATGGCAGTATTCAATTTAAACAGAAAATGTGCAAAATAAAAATTGCAAACTTAATGCAGCACTGTGACTGCGGAATGTGATGACAGAGTGCACACCTCAAGTCAAGATCTTACTGAGGTTTTTACAGAGGAGGCACATATRGTTGGAGGTCACAAAATTACCAAGTTGTAACAGTTAAGGCTGAGGATTCTGCACCCCAAGTGCTCTGTTCAGTTTGGGGTTCTCACTATGAGACAATGAGGTGCTGGAGCATGTCCAGAGAAGGAGTTTGTAGCCAGGTGGTGTTTGGTGTCTTCTTCCCCTAACAAGGAACAGGACAAGAGGAAGCGGCCTCAAGTTGCTCCAGGAGAGATTTAGATTGTATACTAGGATAAATGCCTTCATCAAAAGGGTTGTCAGGTGCTGCAAGGAAGCATCCTTCATCCCTGCTGAAGGAAGTGGTGGAGTCTATTTAAAAGATGTGTAGATGTGGCACTTAGGGACATGGTTTAGTGGGGGACTTGGCAGTGCTGGGTTAAGGGCTGGACTTTGATCTTGGAAGTCTTTTCCAGTGTGAAAATTTATCTCATTCTATTGCAGTAGGGTTAAATGGCACATTTCAGAAGTTATGTTAACACACGCTGGGGTTCGAACGAGGGAAAATCACTGAGCATCTGTGTGCTTTTGGAATTCTCRCATATTTTTCTTTGAAACATCTGATACTGGCTGTGTGAAGACATTACATTAGGCTAGACATATGATTCTGATGAACTTACAGCAAATTCCTGCCATTTGATCTTGAACTGCTATGATTACAGGCAGCTCAGCACCAGGCYTGCAATATAGAATGGCCTGAAATCGCTCCCAGTTGAAGAATTTGGGGCTGTTGCCATTTAAGAGAACAGCAGGAGGCACGGGCGAGGCTTTAGAACTCGCAGCACGGCGCGTCTGGAAGGAGGGACCGCAACACCTATTTTTGCTGACACTGTACTCGGTTCACGTCAGCCTGGGAGTAATCACACTGGTCGGCCGCCTTGTTTRACATTTCATCTTATTTTTTAAAACAACAAGCCAGAAAAACCTCCCCATAACAGGCACAGTACTCAAACAGCACCCAGCGGGAACCCACCCGTGACCCGGCCCCCGGGAAGCCGCGCTCCCCAGCCCGCCCTCCGTGCCTCCCCACGTTCCTGTGGCCGGTTTTACATGTCCCCTCCCATGGCCCGCCCCGCGKGCGAGGAGCCGGCCCCGGGCCCCGTCCCCGAGCTGTCCCCGCCGGCCGCCGCCGCCGCTCCATCCCTCGCTGGCTCCGGGAGCGCTGCAGGAGCGGAGCGCTCGCATCGCGAACTCGCCGGGTGCCATCGAGGGTGGAAGGTTTGCACAGCCGCTGTGGCTTATAGCRCAGACACGAGTACATGTATTGCGGTTATATATATATGTAAAAAAGTGCTTATGCTGAGCTCATAAGGAGGAACGAGCCAATTCCCGCTCGCGAAGGGAATGTTTTATGTGCAGGCAGGCGGTGCTCCCGTGCTGGCTGTGATTTCTCGGTCAGATCGCGGCAGGGTGCGAAGGTGCCCGACCTCCTCCAAAGAAGAGACTGGCCCGGTGGTCCCTGGGCTCTGCACCAAGCTGCTYACCTGCAGGAACAGCCCATCCCCCGGCCCTGCCGCGGCTGCCGTGGCAGCATGTTAGACCCCAAGGAGGAATGCTTTACAGGTAGGTTTTGCTTGCTAATATCTTTTGCATGTCTCTTGTGTTCCTCCGGGATTTTTTTTGGGGGAATGGGATAAACACAAAGAACGTGCCTGGTTGGTAACAGAGTTGTGCATTATGCAAAAAAAAAGAGCTTGGCTGGCTGTGCTTTTTATTGCATTGTTTTTACTGGTCATCTGTCGGAAATCTCCAATTTGTATTTTACTTGAGGAAAAGACACTACCAGATGTGTGTATGTGGTCTCTCTGTGTTTCTGACAGCGTTAACTCCCCTGTCATTTGAGCTTTCTGCAGCTGTCCTAAGTGTTGGGCCTGGCAGGGGGTGGGAATAGCKCTTGCATTCCTGGAAGCAGCGTTCGTTTTCCCGGACATCCATGCCCTGACGTGCCCTGCACCTTGAGAGCAAAACTGTCCTGCTCTAATTCCTGTGACAGATGYCCGATGACAAAGGTAGACAGCAAAATCSCTTATTGAGATAGTAAGGAGAGACATGAATTAAAASCTATTTCAMTGTACCATTAAAAACTGRTGAGGATGCATAGCGAAACAAGTGMTAATATTAAGGACCTTTTGCAGATGATGCCACCAACCTTTTTACCACACAGATTGATGAATGAACCCAAATTACCAAGAGAAAATGTGCACATCTAGGCCTGGTGTTATGACTGATATATTTTRGAGCACTTGGGCTAATTGACCAGCCTTTCAGTTTGTGCTTAGTATTGAGCACACAGTCCAGTTTACTTACTGAAATTAAAGGATGTGTGAGTGTTCTTGGATCATGACCTTATTACCTTTATATTTCCGTTTCTGCACAAACCCCCTGAGTGTCACTTCTGTGCTACCTTGCAGGGATTTATGAAATTTAAAGTTGCTATGATGTCTTGAAAAGGGTACAACTTTTTATGCCTGTGAGTTGTATTGCCCTTGCATTGGGTATTTTACAGGCTTCTGCAATAGGTTAAAAATTATGAACACTGAGATATCAGAAGTTTCAGCGTTTCTAAAATAATTTTTGGTTACACTTTCTGGCACAGTCCCACYAGTCTAGTGACACAGTTACTTCTGGCATTGTATCACTACTAAAACAACACTCCAGTGATGAGAGTCCCAAAAATATTTTCTTCACTTTGATGTTTGAAATAAAACCAACTGAGTTTCATTTCTTGCAGAAATTTTGTTACAGTATTGCTGAAAAAGRGTGATTTTTATTGCTACTTAATGCATGTTTATGTTTTGTCCATATAAAGATGAGGTCTGTGCTCTGCAGAGGTGAGTGTGACATATGCTGTATTTATAAACACTTGCACAGGCTGCCAGCTGAGTTTCCATGGCTGAAGCGAAGTGTGTTGAATTTTAAATCTCATACCTCACATGGCATGCTGTGAACCACAGTGGGAGCTGGGAGTATTACAAGGAATTTTTTTTGATAGAAGAACCCTTTCCATCCTGTTCCCTATCTGTGTTTAGAATCTGTAATACTGAGAAAAGTGACTTAAGAGAGGGTGAAGATGTCTTAAAATGTTAAGAGTCTGATTATGCAGGACTGTGCCCACACAGAGAATCCTTGCTCTCATAACTGGTGTCACTGATGACAGGAAAATGAGTTATGTGGGTTATGAACTATTTGTATAACAAAGAGTGTGTAATATTGGAGTCCCAACAATGCAGTAAAACTGTCCTAGGAAAAATTCCTTCAGAAGTTTTGTTWCACAATAGTCAATTAGATGAACTTTCTTCTTTCTGAGTACAATGAAACAGAAACTCCCTTCTTTGATGATGACTCTCTGCTGATTCAAACAGGGAGGTGTGAAGTTATTTATTGGTTCCCCAAACTGCATTTATAGGATGCTGTCTGAACATAAGGTAAGTGATGTGCACTTGATGTTCAGTGCAGGGTGTTTATACAGCACACAATTCTGCGTCCAGGAGTCTCTTAGTGGGCCACTGAATTATAACCACTTCTGCAGCAAGTGCAGCCAGTGGTCAAATGTCTGTTTAAGCATGTTTMAGTTCTCTAGAAAAAAGATTCACAAAAATGGGTGGGTTGTTGGTTTGTTTTTTTGGTTGGTTTTTTTTTTTTTTCACAAATAATGAAAAACTTCATCAAAAATTAATCTCAATATGTTTGAATTACTTGATTTTAACAATATTGAAAATACTTTTTCCTTGTAAAATGCTTAAGCATGGTTTTGGACCARCTATACAGAACTATTTCTATTGAACATATTTGGAAAATCAGGATCCATGAGAAATTGTTGCAAGTTTACTGATTCACTGACATTCAGAAAAGTGTTCCAAAAAGAAAAAAWTCCATTATCATTCAAGTCTGGAATTGTGACTAAGGAGCCAGTATGTTGCTATATAGTAACACACATCTCTGGTATCTTTGTGCACGGAAAAATTGTTTGATTGGCATTGGAGATTTGACCAGATTAAAACTTCATTTGATTTACGACCCTATTTTATTTTCATTTTGTTTTGAATGTTTAGAGATTAAGTAAAAACCATGATGTACATAAAATAGATATAGATGCAAATGAACAAATTGATCTTGCATTTCAATGTCTTAGCAAAAAAAATCAAAAAACCAAAAACAACTGTAAGTTTGCTTGGAAAATCCCTCATCTTGGCATTAAAACTGATCTTATTTTTTAAGACAGTTGTCTTAGAAAGTATTGAATATGCTTCATAAGCAGCAATCAAAAGCATGAAGAGTAATAAATGAGAATCTGAAAGAAGGTTTCCAGGTCCATGTTTCGAGCTTTAATTWGTGACCTGGTTTTTCAAAGGTGCTGAGCAGCTGTGGGTGTGAATTCCKTCACATGGAATGCTCAACTGCCCAGTGCCTCCAGAAACACACCTGTTACTCAGTGTCAGCAGTGGGAAATTTTATAAACACTTTCTTGTACGTCTTTTAAATYAGTGCCTTTTATTAAGTCTTGATGAAGTGCTGTGCTGGGACATCCCCATTTTGCCTCGTGTCACCTGCCTTATTTACGTTTTGGCAGAGGAAAGCCTGGTTTATGTAGTGAGGCCACTGAGGGACCCAAGATGTTTGCTGGCAGCATTGTGGCTCCTTCTCTTGGCTGTGAACTGATTCTATCTTGCGTTTCAAAGTTCAGTTAGTATTTTTAAAACAGAAACTGTGGTTCTACTGCAAGTTTGGCAAACCCTCTTCTTAGCCAGAAGGTTTTTGTTATTTTCCGCCTCATTTTAGATAAAAATGGTCCATCACTGGAACTACTATCAGAGAGGTCTTTTTGAATCAAAAGCCAGAAACAATATTTAAACATGAGTCCAAGCTTAGAGAGCAAAGTATTTAGTCAATTTATTCTTATTTTCACTATATGTATTTGTCTTCTGCCTGTTGCAGTTTGCTGTTTAAAGTATAGGTAGTTTTCTATGTTTTTGAAGCATTTTGAATGAAAATTGGTTCTATTATTACATATTTTAACTCTGGTGCTCCTTGAGGCCACTAGATTATCACCTAGCATAGTGAAAATTATTTCTTTTATAAAGTTATTTAATCAATACAAATTTCTCCTTCCATGTCTCCCACCTAAATGCTGGTCCATTGCTTTCTTTTTCTTCATCTATATTGCCACAAAATACCACAAATTTTGCCTAGTGTTTTTTTCAAGTAATACCTGTATACAACTATTATAATATATATTCCTCAATGACAGAATCAAAGCGTTTTCTCGTGGGTTTTTTTTTCCCCTTAGTATTTTTCTGATCTAAAACTACCTCTGGGGACATAGCAACAACAGTTATATTAAATCTACTTTTCCTCTGAATATCTTCCCAAATTACATGTTCTCATTGAGTTAATATGGAAGTGAAACAAGCAAAATGGCAGTGTTATGTGGAAGAATTCATTATTATTGATTAACTTTGGTTTGAGTTCTGTGGGCAGTAATCCAAACTGTGACAGTAAAATACAGCAGTGTTTCTGCTTCTATTTTTGCAAATTATAGCACTAACGTGCAAAGCTACCAAAATATGSTATCACATATCAGAGCACAGAAACTTSATAATTCTATGKCATATCCTTATYRTTTGATAGGATAAAATTACTAGCTGATTATAATTTTTCATGTAGTTTTTGTGTGTTTGGTAAGGCTTACTAGTATCTGGTGAAGGAAAGCTGCATGCAGTTCAAGGTTTTGTAACTCAGGGATATTATCTGGATATTATACAATTTTCAACTATCATATTCTATTTGGGAATAATTATTTCTGATTAAGAAAGGAGTTTCTATTTGGTTTTTGTTTTGTGTGTTTTTTTTTCCTTTTTGTTTGTTTGGTTTGTTTATTTAATGTTATAGTATGTTAGCACTGCCTGGATGCCAGGTGCCCACCAAAAACGCTCTTTCACTTCCCTTCCTAAGTTGGACAGGGAGGGAAAATTACGGAAGGCTCACAGGTTGAGGCAAGGACAGGGAGAGAACACTCARCAATTACCATCACAGGCAAAACAGACCAAACTTGGGGAAATCTATTTTGTTCAATACCAATTAAATTAGAGTATGCTAGTGAGAACTAAACCCGAATCCTTAAAAAACCCTCTTCTACTCACCTCTCCTTTTGTCACAGCTTTAACTTCACTCTCTCCTTTCTCTAGCTCCTCTCACTGAGCAGAACAGGAGGATGGGGAAGGGGSCTTGTGTTCAGTTCATCACACATTGTCCCTGCCACTCCTTCCTCCTCATGGGGAGGACTCCTCACACCCTTCCCCTGCTCCAGAACAGGGTCATTCTCACAGGAGACAGTCCTCCATCAACTTCAGAGACTTGAGTCCCTTCCACAGGCTCTTGTACTCCATTAATTCATCCACTGTGGGTCTTCAATGGGGTCACATTCTTCCTTGTCTCTACCAGCTGCAGTTGCCCTTGTGCAATATTTTTCCCCCACCTTAAGCCCATTATCTCAGAGGTGCTGCCAGTGTTGCTGGTGGGCTCAGTCTTGCCCAGCAGCTGGCCCATCTTTAGATGTAAAAATGWGGAATTTTTTGCTATGGATATGAATGAAAGTATTTTCAGACTTCCGGCTAGTTTGATAATGGTGAAGATGCAACAGATTTTTTTTTTTTAATTGAAAATGTAAAAATTCACTATTTCAATGTTGGAAACAAAAAACTCTTACTGAGAACACGATTCTTATCTTACATTCTGAAAGACTGGAAGGGGCTTTTTTATGTCTCTTTGAGAGAAACAGAGACAAAGCACTGTCACCACTTATGGCATGATTTCAGGCAAAGGACTGCCTGAAAATTAGAAACAGATATGGGCTTRTGTTCTTTCCACTGTGTCCTTAACCCTCACAGGTTAAGGATTGTTTATCTGTGTTAAGGGAACGATGAAACAATAGTAATAACATCTCTAAAATTTTCAAAACCATCACTGTCCCACGTACTTTTTAATGTATATCTTTTGTGAAACCTCAACAGCTTTAGAAAAAGCAACAGAGGTGGAAATGGAAAATGAAATATTGCAGCAAAGACAGAGGGACCCTTACACGTCATGGACAATGCTCACTTTTGTGATAGAAGCAAATCTGGTGAAAGCAATTTTCCATTATATCTTGTGTGTTATTCTGGCTACTACGTCTAAGCCATCAGCCAGCAGTAACTTTTCCAAAAATGCTATTTCAAACAGAACTTTGGAAATGTCGTCTCCATCCTGTAACCTGTGTGCCTTCTCTGTCAGGTAGCTCAGGTCAGAGCACATTTGATAGTGCTTCTGAGCAGGACAGGAGGCTGGAGCCAAGAGACCATGCAGGTGAGAGCTCAGAAATGGAATTGGGCTTTTCCAGTGCATCTTCCAGGCAAGGGCTTATTTTGATATTTGAATGCAAGCAAGCATTAGGCCAAYACATTGCTAATTGGACAGCTTCAGGGGAGCCATGGGAAGGGAACGAGATCCCAGTCTGTGATGATTATTCATGGTCAGGCAGACAGGGTCTGTGTCTGGACTCTTGGCCGAGGCTGGTGCATTATTGCAGTCTTTGCAGCCAGAGGCAGCTCATTTGGCTTTATTTTCTGGTACCTTTTCCAACAGCCTCTTTTATCCACAAGTGCCAAGCCACTGAGGCAGTGGCCAGCCCGTGTCTGTCTGTGTCCTGGTGGTGCTGATGAGGGGGATGGCTCCAGCCCAGCCGTTCCTGTTCCTCTGGATGCCCCTGGCTGTTCCTGGACAGGGTCCGGCACTGTCCGGCTGGGAGCCCCCAGTGCTGCTTGGAGCAGAGGCTGCAGGAGTGCTTCTCTTTCACCCAGCACAGCCACCCACCCTGGCAGCAGCAGAATTAGTGCAGAAACTGAAGGAGAGAAATGCAGAGGGATTGACCAGTGTGAAAATTATCACGTGGACATGACTGTGGTAGCTCCTTGGTGTCTTTGTGTTACATCCGTGAGAAGTTCTGGGTGTCTGTCTCTCTGGGGATCAGCTGCAGATGTTTTTTGCCTAAATATCTTAGAAGCTGAAAATGTAAATGTAAATTTATGGTTAGGATACATGTATGGCTCACACAAACCCTGTTATGAACAGCCTGATTGAGGAATGAAAGTCTTACTGATAAGCTTATTCCTGAAGAGWATWCTCTTCAGGAATTACAAAAAAGGCTTTCTTAATTTGAGTAGAAGCATTATAGAACTGTAAAAACTGTAAATAACTGTGGCAGCCTCAGCAACCTCTGACTAAATCTACAGGCAGGTTTGGCACAAGAGCAGTAGGGGGGATATATTCTTTTTATTTACTGCAATATTAAAATATGTGTATTTATCTTTGAGGGATACCATCATACTGTAGCTTCATGTGCTTCTGTTGGCAATCAACCAGTTATGATTTTTTTCTWCAGGACCTTCTGGGTTTTAACACATTGTTGGAACCTTCTTGCTGTTTAAATGTGCTGAGTTTTCCTAGTTCCTTCAAACCYCCTACAGCCTTTTAGTTCCAGCAAAAGTAATAAGTCAAGAGATAGTAAGTCAATTCAGTTTCAACAACAATTCGCTCTTTGCTAATTCTGTTCTTTGGAGTAGAAAATGTACCTTCAAAAATACTGCAAGCTTTTGAGCTTGAAGATTACTGAGCAGAATAAAGGTTAAATTAATAATAAATAAAGGTTTCTACAGTCACTCTTTACTTTTTTGTATTTTTCCTTCATTCAATAAAAATGCCAGTTTGTTTGTTTGTTTTTAAGGGGAGAGAAGAAAGCCTGTTCTCTTAAAAAATCATATTTAAGTCAAATACTATTGTTTATGTGTGCCACTCCCCTCTAGTGAATAGAAGTGGAATTGCTCCATGTCATGCCACACCACTGACCCCCAGCTGCAACCAGATTATAGAATTTTTTTCATATCTCAGTAACAGAGAGTTATCTTTTTTTCCACAGAACAATGTGAACTTTTTTTYCTGCTTTTTCTGTTGAGGATCAACTAAGCCTTCATTGCAAAGCATTTGGCTAAATTTGCTACATTCTGTCCTTTGCACACACATAATGCCCAAGTAAATATAAAATTAACAACAGCAAAACTGTAATATTCATTACTCCTGTGTCTATATACSTCTGGATTTGAGTAATAGTTTCATGCTGCTTGCCTCTGTTTACATACACGAAGCATTTATTTTAACAATGTTTACTTTTTTCTTGATAGTTGAATACATTTTTGTGCAGTAATCTGAACTCCTCCATGACGGGTTGATGTTTGCTTTATGAAAACTTTAAGTAATTGATACCAAAGCTCAAGTTGTTTGGTTACAGATAGGTGCACAATTCTTGATAAAAATATATATYYACATATTTTCACTTGAACATTTTYGTTGAAGAGGTAASAGAAGAAAAGAGTGTTAAAAAATGTTGTGCATGTGATAAATATTCTGTCAAATGTCAGCTAACAAGGCATCAAGTGTGAGATTTCTCTGGCCAGAGGCCAGTCAAATAGCTCAGCAGTCACCTTAGTCTGTTCTCAGTACTTATCAGCCATGGAGAGAAATACATGCATTTAGATTTCCATTTATCTTCAGAAGTGCACTGCTAAAATATCTTTATAGTCAGAAGCTGATTGTTTCTATTTACTGCACATTACAGTAGCTAGCATGAGATGAATCCTGTATGGGGTGTCTTTTAAAAAAAATCTATTCATGTGTGCTTCTTTGGTCATTAATTGTGCCATTATTTTGTATAATAAATRTGTCATTAATCAGTGGTGAAAACAGCTCTTCTTTCACACTGACAATGGAAGTTRGTCCCCTAGAGCTGCACAGGCTGTGAAGATCACAAGCCTAACAAAGTAAATAGCCTGAAGGAGTTGTATGAGATGCAGAAGCAGTGAACCCCTAAATCAACCTAAAATCTGATGTGAGGCAAATGTGTGCAGAAAAACCTTTCATAGAAAAAAGAGCACAGACCCAAGGGTTTTCAGTTATGCCTAAGAAGAGATGCAGAGGTGTGCTGAGAGTGGAATTTGCTTTATAGAGCTYCATATGTTTATGTATCGTACTCACACATTAAAATGACACTACAYACCCACCCACCTGAAGCTTAAAGAGCAGAATGTGTGAATGTAGCTGAAAGGCCAAGTGTAACACATTCCCTTGTTTTCCTTCCTTTTGGGATATTTTATGTTTCACATTCTTGCTCTTTTCTGCAACTCCAAGTTGCAGTTTACTGTTGTTCTTAAAGGATGGCAGATGTTTCTAGTAAACGCTAAAATTACATTTTTTCTTTTAACTGAAAGAAGTATTAAAAATATGAGGACAAATCCCATGGTATCTAGTTAGGTAAAATGCACACTCAGGTTTGAGGATTATAGTTTTGGGTTTTTTTTTTTTAATATACTGTGCTGTACATCACTGCATTTCTGTATTTTCTTCCTTTGTAACAAAAGGATAAACTCCTGTTTGTTATTGCACATTATTTTCAAAGCTTTGATTGAAAAATGCTGTTACAGAATTGTTATTAAAAATTATCTCTTTTCCAGAGAAATCAGTGCTTGCCCAGCCAACATTTGTTTTTGAAAAGAAGGACCGTTCTTTGAAGGTAAAAAGCTTTTTTTTTCCTTGTCATTATTGAGAAAAATTTCTGAGCAGTAGGGATTCTATAGACAATTATCCCAGTAGCAGTGTAAGATTTTTAGCCCCAGTCAAGACTTGTAATCAAGGGTCTCAAAATAGAACAAGGCAGAATAGAAAATAGAAACATGGCTTAATGCATATGTGCATATACTTTGTGTCTCTGTCTAGAAAATGACTGTTCTGTTTTCCTTGACCTTTCTGTGCTTTTTTTTTTCCAGAGGCCTGCAGAAGACCCAGTTTGCAAAGCTGAAAATGGTAATGACCACCTCACTGAAACAGCAAAATATAACTGAGTTATTCTTAGGTCTGCCTGTTGCCCRTGGATACAGTGTTTGGACTTATTTTCTATGAGCAGGGGCAAATCCCAGTTATGAGACTGTGAAATTGTGGGCTGTAGAACCACCCACACTATCCTAATATATATCCCTGTCTTACCTCAAGAGTTCTTCCACCTTACCTCTCGTATTTACCAGAAAGACAAACTCCAGAAGCCCTAAAAATTGACCAAGCATATTCACCAGTTTTGTGAACTCCCAATTGCCTTTTTGTATTTGTTTAGGCAATGTTAAAATATAGCTCCTCATTCTTAATATTTTCTGAGCCTGTGGGCTATGAACTGATTACAAGTGCTTACTTCAGATTCCCTGAACTTGGTAGAAATAATGAAGACTCCYCAGGGCTTTGTGACACGTCTTGATGGAGATTCCAAAGCCCTCCTGCTCTTAGGTACTGCCTTAAAGCTCTTCTATAAGTCAGTTCTAAAATTTATGGTGTTCAGGTTTTAATTCTGTGTCGTAACATCAYGTTCTGATGTTGGCTGACACAACCTGCCAGCCTGTCCCTCCATAACATTATATTTTCTTTTCTCTAGATTTCATTAGTTGTTCCAGAAAACGTGCAAGATCATCATCTTTGACTTTCCAGAAATCTGACTCTCTGTCTAACACTGGTATGTTATTTAGCTCCTGTCATGTTTTAATGGTTGTAGTTCTGTATTCTCTTCTGGTAAAGAAAAGAAATAATTCTCCTGTCTAAGAAATGTTTCTGCTTTGTAGGCATGCTGCAAATGATGAAAACTTAAGCACTGATACTTGCTGGTAATTTCCAATAAATACCTTTTTAATTAAAACATATAATTTTTTCCATACGTCATAATATTACATAAAGCAGTGAAAAATGTCTATACCTCCTATAGTTTACCTGAATTTTTCACACAGGCAAGAGAGAATGATGGCTGGAAAATAATTATATTCCCTGGCTTCTGGAAGAGATCAGTGTTCCCCTTGAAAATGTAAAGCAGTTTCCAGAAGGGCCTCTCCTTCTGTCCAGCCAAGAGCTGACTGGGAAGGGCTGTAAAGGACTGTGCATTGCTTCCCTGGGAAACACACACAAATCACTGTGTGCAGAAGTAGGGATCTATTTTTTGCAATATTTGTTAAATATATGGATGGTACCAGAAMGGTACTTCAGAATCTACTCATTAATATGTGTACAATGTATTTTTTTTATATAATCCTGTGACACATCTGAATGCACCTAAGAGGACTTACGCTAGGTTTGGTTGTCTCTGAAGGTTATACTGGGACAGTTATGGTAGAAAATTTGGGTCATGCCTATCTTAAAAAATACAGCAGAGTGCTGGAGGAAGCTGGAGTGTTTGCCCTTTTGATTGCCCACACAGTTTAAGTGACAGGMCACTGAGTGGTTCTGTTTGGACCCTCTCCACCTGGTGTTCTCCAGGACTGAGCTGTTGCAGCGGGCACTGGGTRTGTGCCTGAGCCAGGATGTGCTGCTGGGGTCATCACACAGACATAACCTAACAGTCTGCTTCAGAAGGGTGGTAGGTAGCAAATAGATATTTATTCTACTGTCAATGAAAGCATGACATCAGACTGGCTAATCCTAAAGCTGATCTTCTTTATTCTCCAAACAAGTGATAATTTCAGTCTCTTACTCTTTTAGATACTTCTCTGATACAGAAAAGAGGGAGATCATCTTCATTTAACATCCTTCYTACTTTTCCTCCCTCCCAGACAGGTAATTAAAAATAAACATTTATGCAGGAAAAATAGTACTAGCTAAAATAAAGATGTTTGCATAAATSCTTTTTCTTCAAGACAAAGCTGAAGTATGTTGGACAAGTCTGATATTAGATGGGAGAAAGGAACATTTTATGAGGAGTACTGGCATTTCAATGTTTTTTACATTTGGTGTTGGGGAATCCTCTGGGGCAGTGGTGGAATCTTTGAATAATTTAAAAACAGGCATGTACAGAGTGTGATACAAATTATACTTGAAAAAACAAAATGAAATTGCAGTAATTACATGATCGTTTGCCTGTATTTTAATGGTGATGGTTCCTACAGGAATAGAATTTGCTATCCTAGGAGCCTGTTTTCCACCTACCCAGGGACTCAGGGAATATCCTCCCTTCTAGCACTAAAAGGAATGATGGAAACGTCTTGAATCCTAGTCAATGTCTCTTACCAGAGAAAGCTTTTGACAGACATTGGCATAAAGGATTTCTTAACTCTAATGTCAAGAGTTCACAGCATTGCAATAGCAGCAAAACACACTTTTTCTTGCAATGAAGAAGTGGTGATTGCAGTGTATCRGTGCCGTTTTACTCGATGTGGTACCTGTGTGGCATTCCACCCTAAAGAAAGAAGGGAAAATCCAAGATTTGTAGGTGGTTGTGGTGAAAAGGAATGTCAGAAGTCAGAGGTTCTGCAAAAGCTTCCAAAGTGTTACTGGCAAACTCCACACTGGGCATGGGCATTGGTGTAAGTCTGCCCTGATCTCCTAAAATAAACATAAAGAGGTGGGTTTGGAATGAAGGGGTGCGGTGAAAGAGAAGCAAGAGAATTAGAGGAGAAGAGAGAAAGAAAGAAAGGGAGAAAAAGAGACCACCAGTCCTGGTTCCAGCATCAGCATTGGTGYGGCTGATGGGATGGCCAGGATCCTGGGACACACACACAGGCTTCATGGGAGCCAGGACAAGGATTTTAGTCCTGGAAAAGCGCTGCCCTACTTCTTCACGCCCCTTCTCCAGCCACATCCTGCACTTTCTCACAGTGTGTTACTACAGCAGTCCTTGGCTGGCTCCAGAACTATACACAGATATCAGTGATGTGCACATTGTCCCCCTTACCTGCTAGGCTTCTACAACACGGCTGCCACCACTTTCTCACTGGTATTTGATATCTTTATGCAAACAGTGAAAGTATCAATAGTGCGTTGCCATCATTCTGTAAAGTTACAAAGGCCTTTTTTGCAGAACAGGGCAGGGTACGTTTATTTATTTATTCCCATGTACTTGGGCTTCATTTAATCATCCTAAAAATGCCTAAAACTTGATTAGATAGCATTGCCATTTCAATGACTTCTACAAACAGGAACACCTAATTTTCACAGCTGTAGAAATATTTTGCATTTAAAACATTGATTAATATCCAAAAGACTCTGACTTAGCCCGAATACCTCTGRTGCTTTCTGTGCCAAAGTCTGCCTAACTGTGAAAACTGAGACAGTCACAATTACCTTGGAGATCTTTTTCAGATGAATTTGTTGGGATATTGCTCAGATACTACCTAAACAGGGGAGGGTTACAGAAACATTAATTAATGGTTAAAATTTGGGTTTACTCCTTTATCAATTTTGAATTCTTTTTCTGTAGTAAAGAAGAATAACATATTCATGACCTCAGGTCTTCTTCAAAGAAATCCCGACTTCATCAGAAGTGCAAGAGAAGGTAACTGTCATTGTGATATTTATTCTCTGTAGTTCTACAAAGACATTCTTTAGAGATCAGAAGACATAAAAATAGCAGCTCTTTTCCATGATAAAGGATAGGCTAGGTATCTTTATGCAGTTCATAACTTATTTGTGTGACAGTGTAAATGTTCTATGAACTCTAGTCTGAGCATTTGCTCTGACTGCTTATTTCCCGTGTGGACTGAATATAACCTTGCAGAGTGAAATTTCTCATTTCTAACTGAGTATCTCTGCTCCTGGAGAAGGTAATGAAGAAACCTCTTGGCATCTGTAGATGCAGAATTAAATCTGAAATGCCAGAAGATAGATCCAAAACAAAGCAGTAAATATAAGTATAAAGATATACTTAAATAAAAGTATAAAGATATACTTAAGTATATAAATACAAATATATTTTATAAGTATAAATAAGAATGTTTATATATATAACACTTCATAATTTTTATCCTGTTAGGATAACACATGGGTTTCACTGAAGAGCTGTGTATTTTAGAAGCCATTACAATTTTTCAGMATATGTAGCAAGTAAACAATAGTAAATGTTACTCAAAAATGTTTTGAAACTTTCAGTTAAAGAGGCAGGATATATAGGTATGAATTAGATGTGAAGAAAAAGTATCTGTTTAAATATTTTGTCTTTGTATTTTGCAAGGATCCTTGTCACCAAGTCAATTGTGGAATGTCATTAGACCTGCCACTTTACAGCCCCCACAAGCCCTGACCTGTCCTGAAATTCCTGTAGTATCTCTAGTGACTAAGAAAGAAGCATGTGTTCAGGTAAAAAGAAAAATAATTTTACTGGACCTCAAGTTAAGAAAAAAAACCCAAACAAACAAAAACACCCAAAACAACCAAAACCAAACACCAAACAAAACAGTGCTGTTTTAAAGCGATTGATTATTCCATTGCGATTTTAAAGAAGTTCCCATATGAATTTCAGTGGAATTGATGTATCACTGACATGATGTGAAAGGTTAAACTCATGCTGACTGTGTTTGAAAATTCACCTCTTCTCTGCAGGCTGTCTGAGCTTTCTGATATCAGGGTTCCATGGGCAAATCAGCTTTGGGTGTTTTGGATTTTGTTTATTTAGAAAGTGAGATTATAGTATTTTAATTGAAGGCACTGGTTTAGTACAGAACTGGAGGAGGCTCTGCCARCTACCGCATCAATATCTGTAACTGTCTATGTCTGTCTATCTATACCTCAGTGGCTCTGGATTCTAGCAGATCTGCTAATAGCAGAAAATATACCAGCTTTAATTAATCCATTTGATATTTTTTTTCCTAGCTACCTGAAGACAGCTCTTATTCATCAGCTAAGAATTCAGTCAATTCCAAAACAGCAGTGGGGTCTTCTACTACCGTGAGTCTTTCCAGCTCTCAAACAACACAGTAAGATTTGACTTGTTATATTTGTMCATATTTTTTCACTTGACTGATGGCATGCCCTTTTGTCCTGCATGTCTAACATGGTACCAAACCCGTGCTATCTGCACCCACACAGGCCTCAGTGGTGCTTCTGTGTGGTGCCAAGATTTGTTTGCACTGATGTGAGCTTCATGCATCATAAAAATGAGACTCCTAACTGCAACTAATCTTTGTGGAACAGGTGATATCTCACTAGCATCACCAAACCAGAAGTTATTTTGGTTTGCCATCTCTCTTCTCACTGCATGTCTGCTACATCTCATAAAAGAAGGTGCAGGGAAACTCAGGAAATTCCATTCTTTCGAGGATTTACCAGTAAATGTCAATGAATTGGACACAAGATACATAAAGAAAAAAGAAAYAGGATTGATTTGGAAGACCAGGGGAATGCTGCAAATGCTGCATTCACAAAGCAGAATTGAAGAGGTACCTGTGGTACTGGTGRTAGGCTGGCATTTTTGTGCAYGCAAACTTCAGAATTTCTTCATCCTCTTGACTGTGTGATGGAGATTAATCAGATTCTGGCTGAAGGCTTGGACAGCTTGTGTCAAAAGTGGCCCAGATACAATGCTGGGAAAATACAGGCTTCTGGTCATGTATTTAACTTTGTAAGTGTTTGCTTGTGAAAGGATTCAAGGCCAGAAATGAGGAGTCATACTGGTGCAAAGGTAGGCTATCATCTTTCTTTGGAGATGAACAAATGAGAGTGCTAGGACTGTGACTAGCCAACTTAGTACTGGCAGGTTATCTTGGGGCATTAATATTGCTTCCTGATGCTGATGAGGGTTATTTACCTGGAAGYTGTGAGCATCAGAAAGACACCTAGTATCACCTTTGATGAGAGAATGACTTTTTAAAATGGCTAGGGTCATGGATAACAGATTTCTAATGTTGCCTAATTCCCCTCCTACCCAAGGAGGGCATAGAATATGTTAATTGCAAAGGARTCTGTGCCAGTCTTCTACAGGGCTAGATGGACTGCACAAGGTTGGGATGCACAGTGCCAGGATTCTGTCAGGAGCTAAGGGATTTTTAGATACTCAAACAACTTAGATTCTTAATCCTTACCAACAAAAAGAGCATCATTGGAGGGCAGATGCTCACTTTGATTTTGGAAGAACCTGCCTTTTCTACTACAAACAACASTGTGATGATGTCCTGTGAAGACAACATTTAGCCACACTGGATTTTTAGCAGAATCAGAATGATGGTAATGTGCATATTGGAAAAGCTAAATCAGTTGGTATTGATACTTCAAATTTATTTACCTTCTGTCACGTGCAAAATATCTAGGAAAAGACTGGTGAGTGACTTTCTCTTGTGAAGCAAACAGAAGAGCAGTGCAGTGTCTCAGTGGCAAAAAGTTAACCTAAATTTAAAGGTGCTTATAGTATTTTTAACCCTTTTTTTTCTTTTTTTGCCACAAACACCCTGCTTGGGGTGCTTGTTCCTCCTGAATTCTTTATATCACTATACTAATCCTGTATATTGCAATTGCAGTAAACACCGGTTTCTTTCACAGTTGAAAACCTATTTAAATACAACCAGGTGCTTACTGCTCTTCTGAGATTGCAGGAGGATATAAGTGCTGTTCTTCTGATCCATATTAAGGACTGATGCTTTAAAATACTTYGGTAAAGTATTTCCAGCACAGCTGTTTTTTCATAAATAATAAACAAATAACTTTACTTAAATTGGCATATGTGCTGAACAGTAGTGAACACTGCAGCCAGACCTGCTCATTGCTAAGAAAACAACATTTTAGGTTTGTGTTTAATTTTCAGTCAAGGCGTAACTGTTGACATTTATTTATAAAATCAAATGCAGAGACAGGGACTGCTTTGCTTACAGACATCTCTCCCACTTTCCTTCCTCTTCMACTACTTCCTCTCTTCATCATATGTTTCTGTGGAAAGACAAGTGAAAATATCTTCTTGTCCCTTTGCAGTAGCTGCAGATGYCCATGTTCCAGAAAACCACTAAGTTTCATTTCCTGGGCTGGCTGTAGTAATGAAATGAAAAGGAGAAATTTCCAGTTTCTTAATTCTGATTAAAAACTTGGAACACTTGTGTCGTAAGTGTCATAAGTGACAGAAATACAACAGTGAGAAAACACAGGCTTGCAGTCACAATATCCAAATTTGCATAAGGATTTACTTGGAAAACTGGACAGGTTCAAGGCCAGCACTGGAGTGGCAACTACTCAGACCTTTCTGGACACTCTGAGAAGGGCACTACCTGAATCTATTCCCATTCCATAATCCTGTACCCCTACCTTATCCACATTACTCCTCGCACAGCTCCTTGTTATGATCATACCCTGATAMCAGTGACTGTGTTTTGCATATCCATGACAATGCCATCCCTGGTGCACTTTATTCTTGCCATGCAGCAATGTAAGACTGTTAAAATTTTAGTAACATTTTAAGGCTGGCACTTCCAGTCAACTTTCTCTTAAAAGAAAGAACCTGCACTGATTAATTTTTCTTACATTTCTGAAAATAATCAAAATTATTCTCCCCACTTTTTCTTGGAAATWAGCCTCTAGTTCCTGTTTTTTAGCTCTTTTGATGTGCTGTGTTAAAGAAATTGYTATTGGAGCAACCTAGAAGTAGCAGAGGAAAGGTCAGCATGGCAATTGATCACAATTCAGTAAATTTTATCAGTGAATTTATTCAGTAAATTTCACATCAGTGAGGGATGTGTTTATGGATGAAAAAATCATTAACACACTTCAGATTCCCCGTTYGTGGCCTGGAACATGCATAGAAGCTTTTAAAGATGAAGAGACAAGTATTTTCTGATGTCTCTTTTTTGCTCTTAGTCTTAGCAGCACATGAAGCATGAAAATGTTAAAGAATACTTTTCTCATTAAGTAATTGAGAAAAATTGAGATAGGTACTACTTGTTAAGCCCTTCATCCTTGAAGAGCACACATTAATTGTGAACAGAGAAACTACATTTTAGAAACAGTCATCAAAGTTCTGCCAACAAACCCAGGTAATTAACAGGAATATCCTTTGCATGACATAAGTTATGTTAAGCCTTCCCAAGGGTGGTAAATACTGTGAAAGGAAAGTAGAAGTGGTGCTGAAGTATGCGGTTTGTGATGCAGTATCTGGCTGCCTTCCTGCCAGGTCATCCTTTTGGTACAGAAAGTGAAAAGAACTTGGATGGTTTTGCCTGTGCTAGCAAGACATGCAGGATTAAGCTCTACAGAAATCATAAAAAAACCTATAACTCTTTCATGAAAAAACCTCAAACAAACCAAAACCAAAACTGAAACCAAATCAGCAGCAGGAACAACTTTCACAAGGACTTTTTTTTCTAGTGACTTTTACAAAATATGAACCCTGTTAATTTAAAGTGGCTCTGTAATTAGCAGGTCAAATCACAGTTCTACTTATAACAGAGAATTCTTGAATGAAATCTTCAAACTATATTTGGCCAGTACCAAAGGACTGCAAGTATTTAATTCTCTTCTCATTTGAAGTGTAACTATGAAACAGGTAATTGAAAAATTGAAATACTTTTCTCTCCTGGTTTAGTTTCACTTCATCTTAAGCCATGTGCTATCACACCTTTACATTTTTTCAGTATTTGTGTGCGTATTTGAATGAACTGCCTTCCTGCCCTTCCAAATGTGAGGAGGATGACAGTGGAGTGCCTGTAAGGCCCTGGGGTGTGCATTATTCTACAGGTACCAGASCTGCACCAGCACGAGAATATAAGTGTTAATCGTTGGTAGTCTTTGGACGARCAAAAGGAAACTGCGAAACAAAAGTGACTCATTAAAGTTTTTGCAGTAAGACATTTCCCTGAGGAGGAAGTGGCATGTTGTTATGCTGCTTGCTCTTTGATTTAAGGAATGTCCTCAATAATCTTAAAGAAATACAGCRTGGTACTGTCTGTTCCTTTTATGAAACATTGCATAAAGTATATTCTCAGATTCTCTTAAAGAATTTGTCTGATTACTTAGGTGATTTTTTTGTTTGTTTTTCTCTAATGATAGGTATGGTGAACTTCTAAAAGGCTTTAAATAGTTCTAAATCACATTCTTATGTTGTTTTGTTTCCACAGAAGTCAGAAGCTCGAAGAAAGAAGTGAACAAAAGAGCAGCAAATCTGATTTCGTGTTTGGGGAAAACATGGTTGAAAGAGTTTTGGTCCGATCTGCAGACGCTGGCAAACTTTTTATCAAGGTTAGTGTACTGAAGAGTGTAATTTTTTTTTTATTTACTCTTTTTAGGTCTTCCTTCTTTTAAAGATGGGAGTAAATATGATTCCAATGACTCTTGAGGAGAAAATATTTAAGAATGTGCTGCTGGAGAGGTGGACATTCTTGCCTTCACCACCTTAGACTGGTTCTACCAATTTGCGCTTCTGGTTAGCTCATTTTTCACTTGGAAGAGAGTTTTCTATATATTCCATGTAAAGTGGAACAGGCACAATGTAAGATAAAAGAATGTGGTCCCTACTGGTCTAATGATGTCCATCATGATAACTGYGAAGAGATAGCATAACTGAAGAAAGCTGGAGAGACACTGTTCACAGGAACATGGAGTGACACAACAAGGGGAATGGTTTCAAACTGAAGGAGAGTAGGTTAAAATTCAATATTAGGAAGAAATTATTCTCTTTGAGGTTGGTGAGACCATTGGAACATGTGCCTAGAGATGCTGTGGATACCCCATCCGTGGAGGTGTTCAAGGCCAGGCTGGATGGGTCTCTGAGCAACTGGTCTAGTGAAAGGTATACCTGCCCATGGCAGAGCAGTTGGAACCAGATAATCTTGAAAGTCCCTTTCAACCCAAGCCATTCTGTGATTCTATGAAAAATAAGTATGAGGGGAAAATTGGACACCCACCCTAGACAGTGTCCATGTTAAAGCATACGTGCCATGCTTGTGAGGCAGCTTAATGGGCAAAGTCCTGAAAGACACCAGGATGAAAAGGTGGTTCCCAAGCTGAGGACTGCACCGTTGAAAATGGAATTGAAATTCAGTTTTCAACAGAAGTAGGATGAAAACAGAAAGCTTACCTGCCAGTTAAAATAGCTTGGCAACCGTGGGTTTGGGTTATGACTTCTGGCCAAGATTTATTTATAAGGTATGAGTTGAGCCACTGAGCATTGTCAGAAGCCACAAGCATTTATTTAGACATGCCTAAGAAAATTTATCTGCAAAACCAGAATGTGATGGAAATTTTTAAGTCCTCTGAGGTTGTTTGTGGTGTCTGATGGTTTTAAACCACTCTTCTGGGAGCTATGGGCTTGAACTGGAAGTAAACTGATACCTTAACAGTTAAGTTCTTCAGTGGATTTAAATCCTAGTGCAGGATCCATATAAGGAGGCCATTCTTCATGGTGGGAGAATGATGTACTGAGTTTATGGTAATAACATTACTTCCTCTAGAGACTGAAATTGTATCATCTGGGCTAGTTTTTACTCTGAAGCGATTAAAGTTGCTAATCTTCCACCTAGCATGCATTMAATTATTCAATGTTCTGTTTTTATTTAAATAAAAATTTAAATAGTAATTCTTATTTCCCCCATGTTTTTCCAGAGTCCTGAGAAACATCCCAAGCTGTGTAATGAAGCTGATTTACAAAAAGGAGAAATAACATCCATGTCCCTAGGATCTTCTCATGTTGGGCCACGAACAAGTAAGCATACTCAGCAMACAGGCACAGTTAGCTTCATTATTATGTTTCACTGTATTTTAGAGGGTGTCAAATGAGTGGTGGTCAATAATTGTCATCTGTTCTCAAGCKATCCAGTCATGAGTACACTTAGAGTATGTGCCAAAATCTCTGTTCAGAAAGCAGCCACAATTTGGTTTATGACACATCAACTGGACTAGCTTCAGAAARCATGATCTAAATTCCTCAAGAAAGGATGAAGTTTTACAGATTGTTATTATTTAAGACAGATTATTATTTACTGTTTGAAAAAAAAATATGCAGCAATCTTTATGAATGCCTTTTGGACCCCATTTTTGAGCTACAGTTTTAGACTCTCTGCTGCTTGCATTTTGCAACTGCTCATATACASTATTTTGATATTTTGGTTCTTGATTGTGGAACTGAAAGTTCTATACAGACAGATTTTGGGGCTTGTTTGTGACTTTGGTGTGAGATTTTGTACTAGGCAAGCCATGTAAACCTAGGCTGTGAGGGAATCCCCAACAGGCCCCTTTGTGAGCCCTTCTCTTTTTTTTTTTGCACTGCTTTTTGCTACAGATGTATTAGATCCTCTGATTTGTCTAAGCATTCTTACAAGTAAAAAATCATAAAAACAAAGCCTTTAGAACATGTGTATAGATGCAAATATACAATAATGTTGTTCCTTTCAAATCTTGTTCTTCTGTGTTCCTTTCAAATCTTATTCTTCTGTGTTCCTGTTAAATATTCATCCTATATGTTATTATTCTGAATATTGGGATATGTAGTAATCTGCACAACAGTATGACAGATGAGTTTAATTTGGAAAATCAGCTTCTAAATAGCTAGGTCTTGTTTCTGCTTGTTTCTGTTYGTCCCTTGGGACAAACGTTTGCAAMTGCAGACAGCCCTGTTCAATTTGCATGAGCCTGTATAGTGAGGCATTTTGTATTCCTGCCTTTTCCTTTTCCTCTTCTGTTTATTGCTTTGTCCAAAAATTTATTAATAAACACTWAAAAACAGCAGATACCGTAGGTATTACTGATGTCACAGGCCATCATGTGTGCTAATTTTTTTATCCTAAAAATATTCCCTGTACAGAAAGAATTTCTTTTTCTTTCCCTACAGAAAAAGCTTTGTTGGGGAATAATGCAACACTAATTGAATCAGCAGCTGCTTGTATTTCCAAGCCAGAGGAGAAAATCCTGTTAGATAAAGTTGAAGTTATAACTGGAGAAGAAGCAGAACACAATGTATTGCAGGTGTGTATTTCCTTGATATAAAACCTTGATGGTGAGCAGTTTTGTTGTCGAAAAGAACATCTAGATCTACTACAGATGCAGTAATCTGAAAATAATTTCAGTTTATATTTTAAATGTTTGCTATTTTTAAGCTAGGCTTCAGCTAATCAATTTTTTCTGTAGATTGGTATTTTCTTTTTCATATTATATTTTTCCATTTTATAGTCCCTTTCAGTAAGTGACTATTTCTGAATTTATAAGCATCTACATAGTATACCAGCTATAACCAAAACCTTAGAATTGGAAGTGATTTGAGTAAAGATAGGTTTTATGAAAAATCTTTACTGGGGGAAAAAAAGCAATGTGTTGTTAAAATAATTAATTTTATAGTTCAGCTAAAATATTATGTTCAGCTAAAAATTATGTTTCCAACCTGGCAGGGCATTTCTTGCTATTCTTCATCTTCAWAGCATTATTTTCTCAGAAAATAGCAATTATACATATGGTTTAAAAAATCTTAACCTTATTTTATCTTTGATTAATTCTTCTGTCTTGCCAGGACACAAAAGTTTTACTCTCTTTGAAGCAGTACTCTTCTACTAGTGGCACTGGTGTCCTGGGCTGCATAATGTTTGTAGAGAGTGAGGAAATAMGACAGTACAACTTTTGCAAAAAATTCAGCTGTGCTGGTGGATAGCATAGATGAAGAGCTAATGAAGATGAAATAATTGAAAAAGTAAACTACTCAATGCTTTCTGTGATGAGAAAAGGGTTTAGGACACATCTAGGYGCCATTTCATTTTAAGTAATAATGGTGATGTATTTTTATATTTACCTTTGTACACATGCATATGGATGTATTAACAGCCATAACAAAAGTTTTATAACCATAAAGTTTTAGAGCCAATAAAAGTAGCATGGCTGGCAGTTTTCAGCAAATATTTCTCTTTCAGATTAACTGCAAGCTCTTCATATTTAATAAGCTTTCTTTAACCTGGACTGAAAGAGGCAGAGGATCCCTGAGACTTAATGACACTTCTAGCAATAAACATGGAATGTTGCAGTCAAGGCTAAGTAAGAATTAAATAATGAAATACCCCATACAGAAAACATCAAATGACTTGTTCTATGGTTGGCCAGAGTAAATTTATTTTAGAACATTTAAATCTGAAAAGCTTTTTTAATTTAAGTCAGGTTGCTGAGAATCTTTTTACCTGATAAAATTCTCTGTGTTACAGACTGAGGAACTAGGCTCACATACAATGTTAGGTTCTGTGTACTTCTGCTGCATTGTGTCTTCAGCTCTGTCACCAGTCTGACAGTTCACTCTTCATTGATTCTGCTTTTCCAGCGCCACTGTTTCAAGACATTCTTGGAATGTTGTTTTTACTGTGCTATCATTTTTTTTTGTATTGTATTGCACAGTTTCAGCAGATTGTTGCATTTGTGTACCAGACACACTGAAAAAAACTAATATATCTGGCTATTTAAAAAAAAAAAATCACTACATCAGGGGTTCAGACCAAATTAAAAAGAATAAATGGTGCAAACATTAAATGTACATCAATATTAGAGAAAACTGCTGCAGAATATCTTAGCGTRTTAACTTCCCTTTTTTTAGTTATGCGAAATCAAGGTAGCTTGAGACTGATTCTCAACACCCGACTCTGGGAACAAATGGTTATAAAAAGAGCAAACAGAAAGAGCCTGTGCTTCACAGCAACAGATCAAGAGGACCACTCTGTTCAAGTATTTTTAACTCAGGTAAGTAGGAGATAAAAGCTCCACCCAAATCCCCACTTCCTCTAGAATTCTGAAGAGTTGCTGAGATTAGTTTTAGCAAAAGGTCTTCATGTTCTGTCAGACTATGCCCAGCTTAGATGTTCCATGTCTGTTATTATGGAATGTATTCGAATAGTATTTCAAAAAGCCAGGTGTGATGATGTGATATGGCCTTAAGAGAGACATTTCCAGACTCTGGTTCACATACCACCTGTGGAATGGGTATCATGCCAGTAATATGCAGAAAATGCTGGTTTTTTTTTAAATGGAAACAATACAGTGATAATTTCTTCACAGGTAGYTACAATTTTGTAAGTTAATCTGGTAAAAGGCAGTAGCTTTCTGCCATGGTTGTCAACACAGCACKTGCAATAAATCCAGTGCAGGCCCTCCACTCCTTAGCTGGGAAGAACAGAGACTTTCAATATCGCCTTATGTAAAACAATTGTCTTGGGAACCCTGGTTTTCTCCAGCAAGGGGTAAATTTGAAGTGGAAATGTGGTAGACTTATTTGCAAATAAATAGCACATATGCCCGGAAATGTGGTGGACTTACTTGCAAATAAATAGCACTTACGTCCTAGGTTGGAAAGCAAGTATATAACATGAGTTTAAGGATGTTTACAGTTTCCCTAGTAGACCATYCTAGGAAGGATTCAGCTTGCTGGGAAAGAATAATAAATCACCATTTCCAGGAAGTGTCCCATGTCATACACAAGCAAAGCACAAGGCACTGTACATACATGCAAGTACTGTAAGTCTGTCACTTCCTAGGAGGGATTGATTTAATTATGGCTGTGCTGGACTGCAGGTCTGCATGTGAGAATTRTAAATATCCTCATTTCCAGCTGTGCTGCACAGTTTTTCTCATATGTAGAATTTACATTCTGTAAACTATGGGCATTACTGGGCAGTAAAAACAGACAGGTATGAGGAAACCACGATACATGACAGCTGTATGGGTGTACCAAGGGTTGCAGSAGTCTGCTTCTGCAGTCACTGAAGAGCCTGGTATCCACCCCTAMAAGTATCCAACTGGTGACTGTGTATATTAACATGTCAGTGCGTTCTTCCTTCTAGAATCATACCCAGGAATCATCTGGAATGCCAAGTACTCCATAGAAACTGAGCTATTCTTCAGGGACAATAATTTTTAAGCTTATGTTTCTTGTAAATATATAGAAAATAATCAACAGCTACATATCATAAAACTCAGACTGTATAAAGAAACTTGACATTATTTTGGATGTTAATTATAAAGTGTGAATCTTAAATTGATTGCTCTGATTAAAAAGGACAAAATACACCTCTWTTGTTTTTTTAATTAGATTTTAAAAAGAGAGATTTTTCTCATGGTTTGGACAGTATGCATTTTATGTTCTGCAGGCAAGCTCAAAAGACACTGAACACCTGTATGCTGCAATACATCATCGCCTTGTGGCATTGCGAAGCTTTGCTGAGCAAGAGCCAGATGCTCATCAAGTGGATACAGAGTTAGAAACAGCTTTTCAGCCATTTAACTGTGATAGTGATGATGAAGATGATGAAGAACTAACTCAAGTGAGCAGCACTGGCTCTGGTAAGCATAAGCTTTCCTGGAAATGCTGTAATCCTTTCAGGGTATTTGCTTAAATTAATAAAAATTTGATTTTTTTTTTCTGACTTTAACTTTTATCTGATACAGATACCCCTTTTTAAGATAGAATTACCATAGAGTAATTCCTTTCAGTATTTTGACTTACTACTATTAAAATGTAACATTTTTCYAGGTCAAGTATCTGACACACATTTCTAGCAATGGAATACTCTTGACAAAATTTGAGGTTTAAGGAATGTTAATACTATCAAGCATTATCTAAATGCTTTTTTTTCAGTATGTTTCAGTAGAAATGACTAGAGATGTTGAGATACTGGTTTTACTTTAAGTGAAGGATGAATCCATTCACATCAGTGCCTAGCTTGTTACTAATACCCCAGAGCATGTGTTTACTAAGATATTTACTATGTCATGGATAACTTCATTTAAAACACTGATTTTTGATCAGCTGTAACAACTACCTCAACTAGGAAATCTTCAGGACAACATTTACACACCAGTTTTGCCTGCTTTCTTCACCATAACAAAAATGTACATTCCTCAAGAGAAAAATGCCATTAAAACAAGATATAAGACGCTAATGACTTAACACTTCTGTTAATACTGCTCACAACAGGGCTCTGGACACATTTGCAGAAAGCAAGGGAGGAACAGTTGTTAAGACTTCAAAGCTCTCCTATCTTAGCAAAAAGACATATTTCTGGGGCAAATTCACTGCTTGTGTCAAACTGCTACAGTGGATAAAGTGATACAGGAGCTGCCAATTATGTGTGATTTCCCAATAGATGGACTGCATCAGGCAACTTTGARTTGCTGCTCACAGGATTAGTTTCCCTCTGCAGCTAGGTAACATACTGTCCTTATATTATAAATCTTCTTTTCAACAACTATTAAGAATCTAGTAATGAACAGTAATGGCTGTAAGTACTGTTTCCTGAAGGAAACAATATTTTCCCTCTTTTATCACAGAATTACAGAATATCCTGAGCTGGAAGGGACACTTCAGGATCATTGAGACTAGCTCCTGCCCCTGCACTGTACACCCCAAAAGTCATACCACAAGGCCTGAAAGCATTGTCCAAATGCTTCTTGGACTCAAACTTGGTGCTCTGACCACTTCCCCAGGGCGTCTGTTGCAGTGCCCAACCACCCTCTGGGTGAAGAACCTTTTTCTACACCCAACCTAAAACCTCCCCTGACACAGCTTCAGGCCATTCCCTTTGATCCTCTCACTGTCACCACAAAGAAGAGATCAGTGTCTGCCCTTCTGCTTCCCCTCATGAAGAAGTCAGAGACCCCAACAAGGTCTCTCCTCAGTCCCCTCTTCTCCAGGAACAAGAAGTCAAGTGACCTCAGCTGGTCCTAATGTGGCTTCCCCTCAAAGTCCTTGGTTGTCTTTCTCCTGGTACACTCCAATAGCTTTATAATCCCTTTATACTGGGCCAAAGATGAGCCAAAACTTCACAGTTTCTGGTAACTTGACAATTTTGAATAGAACTTGACTCCTTCCCAGAATTACTAATGATAAGAACTCTTTCTTCTTTTAGGGGAAAAAAAGAACAGGGTAAAGGAAATGTCAAAGCAGTGTASGAACACAGATATACAAGATAAATAGTTATTTTGATTTGAAGAGGCTTCTGATACAAATATTCAGATAGCAGCCGGCAAACAGATTCTAAAATGTGTGAGGTGTGTTTTTTCTGGTCCTGTCCCTATGCATCTGTACCTCATTTATGCCTAGCTCATGACAACAGTTCTAACAATCCCTTTCAAGTGTTTTTTTTTAATGGCTTCTAGCATTTCCTGCTTATCTCAATCTCTTCTGAGAGCAGAAGAATTTAATTTGCATACATTTCAGTTACTGGTATCCAAGTCACTCCTTACCTTCAGACATTCAATCTCACTCATGACTGTCCCTGGAACTCCCATTTGTAAAATGGAAGAAAAATAGACCTTATGGGTTTTGAACATGATGAGGCCAGTTTTAAATATCAGCATAGAAATGTCTATTTGGATGCAAGAGAACAGATCCTATATATTTAAGAGCACTTGTTTAAATATTTTAATTTTCATGCTTTCATTTTCATTTAAGCATGTATGTGAATTTCATCTTTTTATTGATGTAACTCCATTTTGGAGATTACCTCTCCTTAATAGTATATAAATGTGTAGAAACATGAGTCCTCAGGGACTGTTTCTTTACCAGAAATACAAGAATTTACAAAATATGCCTTAATTTTATTTCATTCCATTCCGTTTGTTTTGTCTCAACCTCCCGCCCCACATAGTTTTCTTAATAAAAAAAATTAAAATTACTAAAAGCAATTTCTTTCTTATTAAACTGAACTCACACAGTTGCCTAGATGATGCTATGTATTTCATGACACAGAAAAATACATGAAAAATTATCATTATAATAATTACCTTTAGTGCTTGAGAMTGAAGAAGAAAGCAAATATAATATATATAATAAGTGAAGCATTATGGATTTTGAAGTGATTCTGTATATTTGCAACGCTTTGTTGTAAGCATCTTTTACAGAAAACTCTTAATCTACAGCGTGTTAATGTTCTATACAGACAACGTATAGAACATAAGGCAGTAGAGCAATTTGTAAGATTTTACAAGTTCAGTATAGACATTTATTSCAATATTTTTTAAATTCTTAGTTGAATTGCTTTACTTCCAAGTAGAGATCATAAAGTACACTAAAAAAAAACAAACCTGGCTGTGTCTGATATTTTTATCAGGTCACATTTCACCCGTTACAGTTTGAATATTTTTACCAACAAATTGTTCTGTAAATCTAAGTGGAGAGAAACAGAACAATTCATGTTTAAAAAGGTTTTGAGAGTGGATGGGATCAATAGCTCTTTGGAAAGTATTTATTTTTTCTCTCTGACTATAATAAAGTGAGCTGAGGAAATTAATTTAGACTAAACACTAAACTTCTAGGCTGACCAAAGTTCAAACAAGTAAAGTACATGGGAGGTACATGGGAGTGTCACTAGGCAAAAATAAGTTTTATGCATTACTCCATATACTGCACCTCACTGATCTGAAATCTTCTAATTTCATCCTGATTGAGGGATCCTCTCTTTTGATTGAGGTGTCCTCTGTGGAATTTTCTGTTAGAAGCTATTAGAATGAATTCAAAGATTCTGGARCCCAGGACTAGGTGAGTCCCAAGTCCCTCCATACATAGCCATAGACCTTAAGAGAAAATCACAGTGTGCCAAGACATAAGAGTGTATCCCATATGAACCCACAAAGAATTGCAAGGATTTTGGAGAGTACTGGTATTGAGAGCCAGCAGTCTCCAGATAGCTTGTTGGTCTGAGAGTARTTTGTTGGTCTGAGAGCCAAACGGTATACCACAGAAATGCAAATGCAAATGCACTTGCAGAAATGGAAGATGTTTTATTTTGAAACATTTTCTGGTCCACTATACATGTGCTTCCCATCTAAGCTTCATCTCATCTGCTGGAGTTTATCAAGATTTAAAATACTACAAGAGCTTTCTACTTTGCAGTAAGGTACTTTTAAAGTTCTCAAAGGAACTGTTGTTCAGCAACACAACAGTAACTCCTGAAAAGCTGCTACTTTGTTAAGCATTTCTTGTCAATTTAATTCAAATTGTTATCAGTTTTTAAGAATTCTAAACCRTAAAGCTAACACACACACACCTGATAGCAATTAAAACCGAGGAAAAAGGAAAAGTTAACAATTAACTTCTTTGTTGGAGTTTCTGTACTCTTTTCATCAGGCACTTGTAATATCTATAGCAGAGAAAAAGAAAACAACCCTCTAATTGTTTTTTTAATGTTGCCACATCAAGAAAGATAAGGGGGAAAATCAGATTTAATATTCTGACAAACACAGACTTTCATTTCACCTGTTAGAGATTTTAAACCCTTAGTAAGTAGGGATGGCCAGATGGTCGCATCAATTTTTAAGCAGATACTGTGATAGTGGTATTATATGTCTGATATTATTAGTCAGCTCTACCTGCTTTCTGCAGATGAGTCAAAGCTACAGAGATTATACACCAAAACCACTTTGTCATAACCAGTGCTGGCTGAAGATATGCCGGATTTCTCACAGTTTTCTGAGCATCTGTAATGGAGTCTYAAGACAGTTTACCCTGCAGAGAGTGAGACAATTTCCTGCTAGGTACATTGCCCTACCTAGACATCAGATTCCTTAGTGTTTATGTGCTTGCCTTTATTGACATGGAGGGTCATAGGCTTCATTCATGATTCACGTGCTCAAATATTTGTGAATAATCCTGTGTTATCTAGTTAGATATTTACCTAAACCAGGAACTGATCATATCCAAACTTTAACCTACTGCTTTGGTCTTATGAAATGCTGGATTGTTTCAAAACATGAATATGCTCAAATAAGCAAGATTTTTTTAAAAATTCTTTTTCAGATCATTCTAGATGGAACCGTAGGCGGTCTGTTGTCTGCTCATGATATCTGCCAGAGGTTACAACAGCTCAGTTGGGAACCCATCTTCCMAAAATGTCTAAGCTGACTCATCAGTCCCTGGAGGGAGGAAATCAGATGCATACTATTTTATGACTTTTAAGTAGAGGTTGATTTTAGAGACATCTTAAGTTTAACATAYTGAGGAAGAACTTTGGATGCACTATTGAGGGTTCCAGGCAGCCTGCATTGCACTGAGCTCTGAATAAGAACATGGCTTCCAATAGTCAAGAACTGTTACAAAGACTTCCAATTTTCAAATTAAATATATTTAGATACATTACTAGAGTAAGGAATTTTATAGGGAATAAGTGCTTATTCATCATATTGATGGATAATACCAYATAAGCATGAACTAATAATATATGTAAAACAGATATTTGTTACTTTTAATCTGTTATTTAAAACATATATCTGAAAAGCTTTAAATTGGACGTCACTGAAAAAAATTATTTAAAGTTGTCTGGTMACACCCAGCATCCTGCTTTCAAGTACATACAAGCAAATGTATGTACTTTAGTCCATTTTAAGCAAATATTGGGGTGGGAAGTTATTATGACCAAGGCCTATARAAACCAGCCTTCATAAAATGGTATTTTTTAATGTGTGTTTTGAAAAKATTTGGAGTTGTATACTGGCTGTAGGTGGGCAAAGAGCAATGATCTGCATTTTTTCAGCTGTAAGCACCAAAAAAACTCACCATGAAGAAGTGCAAGCCGGTTCTAAGRAGTGTATGAGCTTTAAAATTTAAAAGTGTATCTGCTTGCACTCATAAACACATTTCCATTTGCACAAAACAAGTGTTTGCACTATTAATTGTTCACTTGATATACACAAATTCATGCACAGTACAACTGCATTTWAAAAAATCCCTCAAATGTGAGATTATCTGAGATTACTTCTGCTTTAGCTATAACTATTCCTAAATAGCATGATTCATTGATATATGTGAGTATGTTACACATCCTCATGTGAACAATAATCCAAACAGTGCCCAAGACACARTTGCTCTGTAGAAGTCTTTCTACAAACTACTGCCTTCTACCTAAAAATTTTCATGAGAAATAAAAAAACCCATTCTGTCTAATGGCACCTGGCACCTGTGAATCAAGACTTACAAGGTCTTTCATAAACTATACACAGTAAGACACACTGCTATGTTCTGTGTTTTAATTTTGTCAAAAGACAGAATATGTCTGCAGTCTCTCCATTGCCACTTCCCTGCTACCTTGTATATTGTCATCCTCAGAGCTGAAACAATGTTCTGAAATAGCTCAAGTTCTTTTAATAAGGATAATTTCAACAATTTCTCAATCTAAAAAACTGCATCACACCCGAAAAGTTACAATTYAGTTTTCCCATCTGAACACATGAAAATGGAACAATGCTAGCTTTTTCCTGAATTCTCAATGCACTGTCAAGATTAGCATCCAGATGAAGCAGAATTAGTTACCTGGACTATGCTGAATCCTAAATGGCCCACCAAAATTAGCACTTGTCTGACATTGATTTAGCATCTGGATGACAGTAAACTTAAGTGGGACTTGATTTTTGCCTTGAGGAAAAGGGGAGCACTTCCCAACAGAGCACCTGTGTCAAATAGTGGGAGCACTGGGATTCCCTTTTACTTCAGTCTGCCCATAACAAAAATGTTCTTTCCATAACGAGCTGTACCTTGTGTCCTTTGTTATCAACCTCAGTCCTGACCACAACAATATTTACATCACTGACCTTCATATTTCATTGCTGCAACTCATCCTCAGGGACAAAGCTCCATGTTATAAAAACCCAGGCAGTTGTAAAACACAGCAGTCCTATGTATTTAGCAACAGGTCATGGTGATAAGTTTGCCCTTGAGTTCAGCCGGCTATGCACTGAATGCAGAGTTTGATTTCAAAGTCTGTCCTGATAATCAAAGCTTTCTGTGAAACGGGATTTAAGCACCTGACTGTCATGATACCCCTCTAAATGCTTTTACCTGTGGCTGTAAAACCCTTGRCAAATGAGAGAGGGTTCCAGGGCAGGAGCAACAGAACTTTTTCACACAGAGGACTTACTCCTACTTTGTAATTTGCTCCCACAGCATACAGAACAAGATTTATAAATAAGCTCTCTTTTGATCTGCCTCTTCCCAAGGTCTTTACATATACACAAGCATACATATAAACACACACACTCATGTGCACACACGCTCAAATGCAAAGCTTCATCTCCTAAAAGCTGAGGAGGAAAAGAGATGTTTATTTTAAAGAGATTGGATACTGTGGTAATAGAGRAAAACTTTTTGTTCYTGAGAACCTAATTACATGTTCTTTTTAGTCCCACTGCACTAAAATTCACTGATCCTCAAGACTGAAGGTATGCCATTATGAAATATATTAACTTAGTTTTAAAAATGTAAAGTTTGTCATTTTATGAAACCTGGAGCAATTTCTATGCCTCGACAATAAACAATTTTCTTTCCACCTAAATTTCTGTGTAACTAGGAGTTTTATTTTGTGTCTTGGTTGGAGCTTTTACAGTTCCATGCTGCAGAATCTCAAGCCTGCTTTCTTAAGGACACAACATGGAAGCAGTTGTGTACTCCATCCATGCATCTGTCAGATCCACATTGAGTCCACTATTCAGTTACARAAAAACTGGACAGGAGCTAGAAAACTAAGGCAATCTAAATTCTTYGTGAAAATTGGCAGTTGCTCAGTGACAGAAATCAGGAAAAGGTGTCCACTGAGGAAAAAGTTTCAGGGTAGGCTTGGTATCTTTGGTGATGCTGGTGGGGCTGAGTGGTGCATTCCTGCTTCTGTACAAACTGCAGYATTTTCTGGGAGGGAGGAGAAATAAACCATGGAACAATGGGTCCCTGGAATTACTGTGGCCTGAAGAGAGGTGTGGGGACATGACCCAAACCCATCAAACCAGACATAACCAATTTTTTTTTCTAGATAAATGCTTATTTATTTCTGACAAACCCCAGTGATTAATTTATACATAAGGGATGTAGAGCTGGAAAATCTTATGTATTCATGCAGTAGTAATTTTTGCAAGCATAGAAGACTAGCAGTTCCTAATAACAATGATATATATCCAGATATTTTCTACTAAGATCATGACTTTCCAGCAAAATCTACTTGGATGGGATAGACTGAATGTCCTACTTTACATTCTGGAAGTGTTTGTATCTCTTCATAAATCTTGTCCCTCAGGTTTATAAGTCATGCTCTTTAGTGACCTCTGAACTAGTTTTGGCAGACTGTATGAAGTTAAGAGTTAGGAAATGTCTCTATTGAATAAATGAATACAGAAAAAACTTTCACCACATTTGCTTTCAATGAAAATTAAAGCTAGTGACAGCCAGTACAATATGGACAGGGAGGGAAAGAGTATCCTCATTTCCCTTAACTGGGTTTTAGAAGTCTTACCATGGGGGTATGTTGGCAGGAAAATCTAGAAAAAGCATGCATGGCCCATTCTACAGCAGTCATCTAAAAAGTGGAGTCTAGATCAGAACTCTTGGTACAAAATAACATGTCTGCAGCTGCTTGAGCTCATTCAAATGTTGAAGTCAATTGTGTTAGATACAGTATAATTTGCTTTGCATAAGCAAAGAATGGGAGGAAAAGTAGAAAAGTAAATCTCTGATAATTAAAATATATTCTAATGATAGTATGGACAAGAAAGCTCGTTCCTCTCATTGGTTTTGTGTAAAAAAGAATTCAGTAATTTGAACTAATAAAAATGGCTTTTTCTTAAGCTTCTTTTTCTTGCTATATTTTTTCTTAAGCTTCTTCCTCACTTTTGTAATTTGTAATTTATGAAACAAATTATRTGACTCAACTATGTAATAAGTGACGACAGTACACGTTATAAGAAAAGTGCAAGCACAGATAAAATCTGGGATCAGAAATTCAATCAGACTACATCTGCTAATGCGTTCATCCACGTGCCCTGTAAGACTCTGACGTGTTGCATGAGTGACGTTCCCTAAGCATTAGTATAGAGTTTTCCTCTGGATTATCAGAACTAACAGCTGTGGTCAGCTAGCCTCAAAATCCGAGGACTTGGTTTTACTAAATGTTACAGTGATGGTGTGTTTACCTCCTCCCCTGTGAATGCATCTAACACTGACAGCATCACCATTTTAAACACAAATGCACCACAGTCATTTTCAGTTACCACTAGCACTGAAGGTCATCTGGACAATGTAAATAATTGGGTAAATTAATCAGATACTCATCATTAATTAAACTATCACAAGCAGGCATTATTCACAGACGTCAAGAAGTAGAAATGAATAGTTGTCTTAAACTGTAACTGCACTACAAGCAATATATATATTCTTTTGGGTGGAAATAGGCTGCATATGGAGATCATCTAATATAAAACTAAATTGCTAGTTTTACAGCTAGTGAAATAGCTTAGGGAAATATTTCATTGTTTATGTAGAAGTTTTTCCAGTTACTTTGTTACACAGAATAGATTATTTTGTGTATTACATAGAGGTATTTTAAAGTTCACTACATAACTTGAAGTGTATTGAGCTGAGGACGCCTGTTTTCTATGGATTTGTGTCTTGAAATCTACATCATGTATAATCTACACTCCTTGGTGTATAAAATGGGCATTTCTCTGAAGCATTTTTCTGACTGCAGGCAGTATTCAGGCAACAGTTTCCATTACGAATTTTTAAGTACTCTGTGCCCAAACCAAAGCTGGTTGTGGTCAGCCAGGAGTTCAAAAAGTTATTACAGTGGGAATTTACTGCTACTCTATATTTGTGTCCTATTAAGGATACCAAGTTTAAATGCCTATGAATGAATCTCTCTTAATCCACTGGGTATATTGCTCTAAAGCCATTGAAAATGGGGCATGAAGACATGTCATGTGTCACAAACTGAATATATCTCAAAATAAGTAAAGAGWCATCTGACAGATATGTGTGTCTTTTTCCTGTATACAGTGTACWGGAAATCTGTTCAAATCAAGAATTGTAGTAAGGGAGGAGTTAGTGTCTAATGAATATTTTGTAAGTAGGATCATTTACAAAGTACAATGCAAACTGTAAGTAACATTCAAAAAACTGTGTTGTAGAAAGCTTAAGCCCTTTTCCACATAGACAGTGAGGTATCAGACAATCTGTGTACTCTGACAGAGAGGTAGTCTGTCAGAGACTTCCTTCTGGGAGCCATGGATTAATCACTTCATACTCTGTGCTTCAGCATTGTTTCCAGAACTTCAGGACATCRTCTACTGATTTAGATTTTAAAACACATATTTAATATTTTATACTTAGATGCTTGCTGTGGGAATTAATTCAAAAGACCCTAATGTAATAATTACATTACTTCAGAATAAAATACTGTCCTGTGTTCAAATTTAGGGGCTGAAGCTGGTTTGTTTTTCAAAGCTCAAAACAATTCAGAATAAACAGATAATACATGAAGCATAAAATCTTAGAGAAGCAGCTAAATGGTCACTCAGAAAAGAGTCATACATTTTCAAAATCTCTTAGAYCTTTTTGGTTTCCAGGATCTTCCATTACCTACTGCTTTGTACAACCTAGAAGTTAATGGTTATACAGAGTGAGGCATTTTCTGGTTAGCAAGGGAATTAGTTATGTTTAATTGGTCTCCTGGTAATCTGTTTCGTGATAGTTTCCTTCAAGGCTAAGCTAATCAGTAGAGATAGAAAATCCTCCTATCCACCAGCAAGGACTGGAGAGAGCCTTTATGCTGTTATTCAAGGGTAGGGAAGGGCTGAATGGCTGCAGCTCTGCTCATTTCCTAATACTCTTGGCAAAGCACTGTACAAGAGTGCTGCATTGACAGGCTGCTTCAATCCCTTCCCCCAGGGTAGATCGGGAACAAGGTGAGTAATAAGAAATATGTGTCTAAGTGAGGCCTTCAGTGCAGAAGGACCATCTGTGGCAGTCGATGTCTGCGTGGGCAGTTATTAATAATGATGCAAACCCACACAGAATTTCTGGACAGCTTGCTTACAATATTGAAAAGTAACTGAGGATTGATTTTTTTTTTTTACCTGGGCTTGCCAGACACTGTCACGCAGCGCTGTTGCCGGATCGGTGCCTGTGGGAGCCGCGGCTCTGACCGCGCTGCCCTTTCTGCCCTTCCTGACACTGGCAAATGTCACAAAGACCAGAACAGGCATGGATAACAGTATGACTTTTTAAGCTACATGTTTCTCATCAGATCTCCACATCAGCTGCCGTATTTTTAAACAATCCTTTTGAAACACAGCATATGCTCTGTTTTCCCAAGTTTCAGAGTTCTTTTCCTCCGACAAAAGTTTTTTCCCTCGCCCCCAGTTTCACAGGAAAGCAGAGCAGCTCCCAGCGAGGCAATCCCACCTGATTTCCACAGCCTGAGTGGTGCCAGCCCCACAATCCACCTGCTCAAACAACAATACTTGTGTTATTTCACAAGTAATGGGGGCACTCTCGCTGTCCCGCGGGTCGGGGGGGACACTGTTCGGGGACACGGCTCAGGAACACAGTTTAGTCTCAGAATTCCWGTATATTCCCCTAAACTATCTAAAGATTTGCTAATGTACTATCATCAGTTCCTATTTGCCTTTCTGCCGTGCTGTGAAACCATCGCAGAGATCGAGAACTGGAGCAGCAACACGATTACATGACATTTCCACACACACGGTGCAAGACTAAYTAATTTCTTCCTCTTTATTCTTTCAACACTGTCGCTGTCCCGCGGGACACTGRGAGTACTGAGGGCAGTGGTGGGGCAGTGCGGTACTGCTGCTATCCCCCAGCACACGGGGAACGCTGAGGAGTACCGGGAACACTGCGGKGTGCTCTCGCTGTGCCCCGGGACACGGGGGAGCGCCGGGGGCAGGGTCACGGTCCCCTCACGCCGGAGGCCGCTCCCGCAGCCCCTCAGGCCGCCCCGCGGCGCGAGAACATCCGCCGCGCCGCCTACGTGCCTCGCGCCCCGTCCCGCGCGCCGGGCCCCGCCAGCAGCCGAGGCGGGACCGCACAGGGGCGGGCAGGGAGCGGAGCCCGCTCTGCTGCGCATGCGCAGCCAGCGCCGCCCGGGGCGCGGGGTGGGGCACGCGCGCGCCGCGCGCTGTGTCGCGGTTGGCCGGGGACGGCGCAGGCGCCGGGAAGGGCGCTCCGGCCCGGCCCCTCAGAGGGGCGGGTGCCTCGCGGAGCCGCTCGCTATTGGCTGCAGGGGCGGCTGCGCGCGGGGAGGGCGGGGCGGCGGGCGCGGCCGGGCCATGTGTGCCGAGCGCCGCCGCAGAGCGGCCGCAGCCGCCGCCGGCAGCGCCGCGCCCGTCCCGGGGAGCGGCGCAGAGCCCCGGCGATGTTCTCCGCGTGGGTCTTCCCCTGCAGCCGCCTCCGCCTCGCCGGCCGGGCGCCCGCTCGCCGGTCCGCGCTGCTCTGCCAGGGGGCGGCCGCTTCCCCCGCCCCGCTGGGGCTGCCGCTCCTCGGCGGCGCCCACCGGCGCCTCCTCACCCTGGGCGGGCTGAGCCCCTCGGCGGCGGCGGCCGGGCGGGGGGTGTCAGGGGCCGCGCCGTGCGGAGCAGGGGCGGCGGGRGGCGGGTTCCGTCCGTCGCGGGTGGCGGTGGTGGTGAAGACGACGCGGTACGAGTTCGAGCAGCAGCGGTACCGCTACGCCGGGCTCTCCGAGGAGGACCTCAAGCAGCTGGTGAGCGGCGGGAGGGGCCGACCGTCCCGGCCACTGAGGGCGTTGCCAGCGGGGCTGCAGCGGGGATGGGGGGCACCCAGGGTGATGCCCGGCTCCTGCGAGGGATGGCCGCGGTGATGCCCGGCTCCGGAGGGGGTTCCCAGGGTGATGCCCGGCTCCGTAGGGGCCGCCGGGCCGCTGTGTTGGGTGTTCCCGAGGCTTCCCCGGGCCCTGGCGGGGCGGAACCGGCGGCCGGGGAGGTGAGCGGGGTCGCAGCCGCTATCCCGGCTCTGTGCTTCTGCTGCCGGCGGCTCTGCCCTTCCGCCACCTCCCTCCCGGGGCCCCCGATCCCCATGGAGCCCCGGGGAGAGAGAGGGGCAAGACCTGCGCCGCTGCACCGCCCTTCATTCATCGCTTGCAGAGTGCTGAGAGATTTGTGTAGTAAGCGTGTTTGGGTTTTACCCTCGGAGGGATTCCAGCAGCCCTCAGCAGGCTTTTGCTTGCAGTATAAAGATTAGAGAAGTGCATGCTGAAGAAAGCAGTGTGTTGTGGAAAATGCCCTCTACGTCTTCGAGTGGACTGATTCGCATTTCCTCCGTTTCCTTGCCTCACGTCCTCACTTCATCTTAACGTATTTTCCTCCATCCAGAGAGCCAAACCTCACTGCCAAATCCGGTCTCCTTATTACAGTTTTTAGAAAAGCCTTTTTCTTTAGTTGAAGAAATCTGTAATGTAAAAGTTCTCTATTAGTGAAGATGTACTAAGGAAAGTGTCTCTGAGAGTTGATATGTGTACCCCGTGTCTTGTGTCTTCATCTCCATCATGCTCAGTGACCTCACCCTGTTCTCCCTTTACCCTGTGACTGTCTCCTTCCAGTGTTCATCTGGCATCGGTGGGCTGAAGGATGGTACCTGCTGAAGTTACTTGGGCTTCCAGCAGTCTCTGCAGACTGTGTCATGAGCTCATGTTATTATATCTTTTTCTCAAATAAGTCCATTATATTGATTTGTTCCCACATTAGTTTGTGTCTGTCAAGTCTTTGGTCTCTTACAACTGGAAATATTTTATACCTTTGTGAGTGTGCAGTGTTTGGGTTAAACCTGTACATGTGCTTAACTTACATAGCAAGGACAAATGACTGTGTATTCTTCTTTTGTAAAGAATTGGGATAAAAAGAACAGTATCTGCAGCAATGTCTGTGTGCTTCAGTTAGTCATCTAGCTCCTACGGAATTCCTGTCTGAACTCTTTTTACATGTGTAGAATAGCTCTCTAGTCACAGTTCATCGAATTTAATGTGGAAATRTCATTCTGTGTTGATTCTTGTGTAGGTTCCTGTTGCTGAGATGTCCCCATATTTCCTTTCATAGGGTGGTTGGGAAAAAAAAGTCACAGCTCATCTGTAAGCTTCTCATTTAGCTTCTCCTGAGGAATCATTTTTTGTTGAGGACAGAGGTTGTTCTCAGTGTRTAGCTCAACCCAAGAAAAGCAGAATGGTGTTTTCCCTAACCACTTTTATACAGGCAGGACTGGACCACTGAATCAGGGAGAAGCACTGCATATCCCTTAAAGTGCTCATAACTGAAKGTAGTGATAGTTGCAGTTTGTTTTCTTATGAGAATGCCTATTTTGCATGATTAGTAACCTGTATCGCTCTGAACAGGCATTCTCTTTAAACAGTAACTGTGAATTCAGTGGCTGATTGTTAATAGTTGCAGAAACACCCTAGAGTTTGTCCTTTTGGAGAAACTTACAGGTGCACAATAATTCCTGGTACTTGTGACAATTGTAGAATTTTTGTTCTCAGACTAATCTAGCTTTCCCATTACAATACTGCCTTGTGAGGAATTGCAGCAATAAAACTTGGTGTCGCCAGGTAGACAGAGCCCGACTTGCCTAACTGTGTGTGTAGCAATATTGAATTAAGCTCTTGCTGTATGGGCGGGAGAACAAAGATTTGTGCAAGAACACATTGAAAAGGTGTTCCACAATTTTGCTTTTGAAATAAAAAATAAGAGAGTGAAGGAATTATTCCTGCTGCCCATTTCTGAAATTTTTTAGCTGACCTGTAAACATTTCTGTATTTGCATTCAGCTGTGTCAAGTCTCAGATCTTTCTTCCTCAGACTGAGTTAATGGCAGCCTCCTTGAGTGTTTTATGAAGGTTCAGAAGACACTTACCCTCTCTGTTGGGGACAGATCACTTTGTAKCAGTGATTGCTGTGGAGTGTCCTTCCCCCACAGTGCTATTGCGGGCAGCTTGGGAACACGACGCATTTTGTTTCCTGGTGGCTAGCTGCACTCCATGCTCAGTGTCCCTGTTTCTCCTAGGGAGACTTCAGAAGCTGCTCCAAGGCAGCTGATCTCAGAATTGAGCCTAGACTCACTGTCTCTGGGTTTGCAGCTCAGTCGTGTTGAAGGGCCACACAGAAGGCAGGGTGGGAGTTCCTGTGAAAGCCTCATGCTGGGGTACAGGCAAAGAGTGAAAGCTGAAGAGCATAGGAGAGATTTGGCTCCCTTGTGCTCAGAGCTGCTGGCTGACCCAGACGTTTTGGTGGTAGGGATTGTTACATTGCAGTGTCTCAGGCTCGGGTGATCCTGGAGGGGGCCTGGAGTGGTGTGTGAGAGCCTCCTCAAAGGAGGAGAACAGTGCTGTCATCTTCCGTCATGGACCTTCAGATATCCAGACTCTGACTGTCTGAAATACAGAAATTCGATTTCAAGGCAGTGTTGGAGGCTTAGATTTGAGCAACCACACTTGGGCTTGTTTGCCTGCTGGTTGTGAGCAGAAGAGATGTTTGTAAGTTTCTAGAAGAAAACTGATGTCTTTGCATTGAAGCCTCAGATTTCAGTGCAGCACAAATAATGACAACTGTGGGCTTAAGCAGTTCTGCCTGRTGACGAAGACAGATGAGCAGTCCTGAACCTAGCTGTTGCAATCAGTGTGTTTATGTATTAAGAATGAATATGCAGTAAGTAACTTAATGCAGAAATGGTGGTGCCTTTGGCCATACATCCTAATGAGGTGGGATTTGTTCCATATTTAAGGAGGCTGAAGATGAATCACCTATACATACTAAAATATGATACAGATCATAGCATGTATCATTACACAGCATAAATCATGATATATTCCAAGCAGCAGCATATTGGTATCGAAGGTGACTGGCTGACATTTCTAATAAGCCTTATTAATAGGCAYCTATAGTTTAAACCTGTCTGTGGTCTTTCTTTTGGATGCCAAGTGAGTTGTATTATACAGACACTATAAAATGTTGCAAAGTCAAGCTGCAAGGTCACAATTCCAGAATTCTTTCTCTTTGCAAACAGATAGGAGAGGTGAAGAAGTAGTCCAGACAGCAAGAGAGTAAAAGAGATGGAGGAGAGATGGAGAGCAAGGGCAAGTATTCTTTGGAGTATTTAGCAGATCTATGGAAGATGAAATCTTCCATTGCATCTCTACATGCTTGTTGTGCATGTCTGCTCCAGGTAGTTGTTTTTATCTGTCTTGTAGCAGATATTCTTACTACATGCTTACARAAATAAGTCATTAAAATCTGTTCATAATTGTACAAAACCACATCTGACTATCATAATTAGTAGTCTAATTCTGACCTAGTCTGAAAAGTGTAATTAAGTGTTCTGTATGCTCTTGTACAGGAGAGGGTTTCAGAAGGGAGATTAGAGATGTAAAAAAAAGAGATTTCTAATACCACAAAACAAAAATGCCCTAAAATGACCCAGCGATCTTTTTAAAAGTGTTACAGCAAAATTTTGTGCATCGTATCATGCAAGAAATAGTTTTATTTGCKTTCATGAAATTTATAGGGACTATTGGATTTCTAAAACTTGCAGTTACCAGTTTGAATACATGAAAATACTAATCTTTCTCCCATGTCCCTACAAAACACTTTGCTTACCAGGAGAAGCAGCAATTTGTGTTTCTTCTGACCTGGTTTATTGGGATTAACATCTAAATATGACTAGTTACAAAAATGAATGATCAACTAATATTGAAATATGTTGTGTTTATTTCACTCTCAGTAAATCCATGTAGAGGAAGCACTGCTGTTGTCCTTATGTAAACTAGTAGAATATAATACCCCAGTAGCAGATAAAGCTAATATTCTGACTTCTGGTTTTTGTTTTCTTTGATAGTGCAGATGTGATACAGCTGTGAGAAGTCAGCAGCTTAAGATCTATAGGGAAGATGAACAATTTACCTGTCCAAACAATTTCTTACATAGTTCTAATTTTCCCTGAAAATGTCTTGTGACATGAAAWGTTATGTTTGTCTTGGTCTTAATTGGAAGGAAGTTGTTCAATGGGGAGTAGAGCTGATATTCTATTGTGGCTGATTTTTGTGTCTTTGTTTGGAGCAGGGAGGGAGAGTGCAGTTAGAGGTTTGGAGCAAATTTGGGCTGGTTTGGACCACTGCAACAAATTACTAGGGGTAATAATCTCACTGGTTTGAAGTTCATATAGCTTTATTGGAAACTGGTGTTTTCACCACTCTGGTTAGGGAAGAGCTAATCTGTTATCAGGATATTGCCTCCCCTGAAAGAGGCCGATGTGAACTCACACAGGTGGTGCTTAAGGCAGCAACAACATAGTGAGCTGGGCTGGTTAGGAAGGAAGGAAGKAGTGTTACCCAGCAGGTAGGCAAGCTTCAGCTGGGGCTCCTATGTTGTGCACCAAAACARCCCCACAGAACTGTGGATGGAGTGGGGGTATGTGTATAGCAGACCTTCCCACCCCCACCCCCCCAGTTCCTAATTTAGATGTGTAAAGCACCAATTGTTTCTAGCCTGTGCATTAAAGTTTTCATATCTCTTAGAAAATTCCCTCTTGAGGGAAATGTACTATTTTAGCTATAACTTGATAGTTGATCAATTTTTATTTTTAAATACAGAAAAATTCRTTGCTATTTTTTACATTAAATGGTGAAAGATACCGTTTTTGTATCACTTTTGAATTACCTTTCCTACTTACTAGTGTTACAGGCTTCTAACTTTCATACCAC